ACCATAAACCATTAAAATGACCCTACTGTTAGAAGAATCATAAACCATTAAAATGACCCTACTGTTAGAAGAATCATAGACCATTAAAATGACCCTACTGTTAGAAGAATCATAAACCATTAACATGACACTACTGTTAGAAGAATCATAAACCATTAACATGACCCTACTGTTAGAAGAATCATAAACCATTAACATGACACTACAGTTAGAAGAATCATAGAACATTAAAATGACCCTACTGTTAGTAGAACCATAAACCATTAACATGACCCTACTCTTAGAAGAATCATAGAACATTAAAATGACCCTACTGTTAGTAGAACCATAAACCATTAACATGACCCTACTCTTAGAAGAATCATAAAACATTAAAATGACCCTACTCTTAGAAGAATCATAAACCATTAACATGACACTACTGTTAGAAGAATCATAAACCATTAACATGACCCTACTGTTAGAAGAATCATAAACCATTAGAATGACCCTACTGTTAGTAGAACCATAAACCATTAAAATGACCCTACTGTTAGAAGAATCATAGACCATTAACATGACCCTACTGTTAGAAGAATCATAAACCATTAAAATGACCCTACTGTTAGAAGAGTCAGACCATTAAAATCATTGCAGTTAAAAAAATCATACCATGTTAATGATCATGCTTATAGAAAAATCAAGGAAGTTGTGATATATACTAAAACCAACGTAAACATCCTGATATATCTTCACAAATGGGTCTAGCCCAAGTGAATTACCATGTCCTGCCAAATGATTGCTTACTTCATCTTTACACATACTGCTATGTATGTGTGTTAGTCATAATTTCTTTGCGCTTAAAATCATTGAGATGAGTTAGTTTAATGTCATGTTCCTTCTTAAGAATATTATGACATTTTTTGAATTCTGTATATATAGTTAATTTTTGGAGTACCAATCATGCCAAATACCGTGTTTTTCCTCTTTGACCAAGTATGAGTGACTATGTACTTTTTATATTGTAATTATATTTCAATATTTTTGCTATTACAGGAAGGCTTTGCAGTTCCTGATGATGCTCTGGAAGATGGAGTTATCATCCCTCAGAACAATGAAGACGAAGAATACTGAGTACAGTTACATGTCAGCTTTAAAAAAGGTTTTCCCAGCTCATAGAAATTTTCTAAACCATCTAATGCTGTAGTCACAGTTGCTCATTGAGATTTTTGAAATACTTCCTAATTCTAAAATACTGACTTCCTTGCTTGTATGAAGTTTGGGGAAAAAGTATCTCACACTTGTTTTATCCTGTGCTTTTAGAAAACTTTAAAAGATAATTTGATTATGTTATCAACTTTATTTGTAGCAGTTGTACTCCGTTCTGCGTGTACCAGCTGTATTTGGAACAAACCATTTTATTTATTTTTTCTATTTAACATTGAATCATAGAAATACATGGAATGGATTGTCCCATCTTTCACTTACAGAAGTATTTCCAACAAACGATTTTATTCTGAACATAAATTTTTGTAACCTGTTTGGTATTTGCTGCATGTTAGTCATAATTATCAGTAACTATCGGAAACAAGCTTTTCTTTCTACATGTTTTAGTGGAAACAAAATATTAATGTGTCCAAGTAACAAGCAACATTAGCATCCTGTATTACTCAAAATGGTTCTGCTCAGTCTAATGACACATCGCTTATCAGAGCGGCTTGATATAGGTTCTGGATCCAGACCTTCAATCAGAGCTGCTAAATATAGGTTTTGTTTCCAGACCTTAAATCACAACAGCTAAATATAGGTTCTGGTTCAAGACCATCAATCATAGAAGCTTGATACAGGTTCTGGTTACAGACCTTCAATCAAAGCAGCTAAATATATGTTCCGGTTCTAGATCTATGGTAGCAGTTTGATATACATTCTGGCTTCAGACCTTTGATCATAGCAGCATAATATATTTATTTATTATATTACTTTAATCCCAGCAGTTTAGTAAATATACTTGTTTGAGACCAAAGTTCATAACAGTTGAAAATAGATGATTGGTTTCAGACCAGTTCTCTGTGCATGTGGCATGTGTTTGATATACAGCTGCGTATAGATGTAGAGCTTGTTTCATGTTATGATGTTGTTTGCATGTTGTAGAACCCTGTGTAACATGTAGAATCAAACTGATCATGTAAAGTCACTTGTATAATGTAGAATCACGTGGTATACATTGCTCATGTTAAGAACTGAAAATATTATAAACTGTCTAGGGCTGTGTATGTAATGAAACATTTTTTATGATGTGTGGCTGTACAGGGTTGATTCTCTGCATGTATGATGTAGAGCCATTGTACATGTCAGGTAGAGCTCTGTGGTTAAAATGTTGCAAATGACGTATAACAATGCATGTGATATACAGCTGTGTCTGAAGTATAATGTATAACAATGCATGTGATATACAGCTCTTTGTCTGAAGTATGATGTATAACAATGCATGTGATGTACAGCTCTTTGTCTGAAGTATGATGTATAACAATGCATGTGATATACAGCTCTTTGTCTGAAGTATGATGTATAACAATGCATGTGATATACAGCTGTGTCTGAAGTATGATGTATAACAATGCATGTGATATACAGCTGTGTCTGAAGTATGATGTATAACAATGCATGTGATATACAGCTGTGTTTGAAGTATGTTGTATAACAATGCCTATACTATAAAGGTCTGAAGTATGATGTATAACAATGCATGTGATATACAGCTGTGTCTGAAGTACGATGTATAACAATGCATGTGATATACAGCTGTGTTTGAAGTATGTTGTATAACAATGCCTATACTATAAAGGTCTGAAGTATGATGTATAACAATGCATGTGATATACAGCTGTGTCTGAAGTACGATGTATAACAATGCATGTGATATACAGCTTTGTGTCTGAAGTATGATGTATAACAATGCCTGTGATATAAAGGTCTGTGTCTGAAGTATGTTGTATAACATTGTCTGTGATATACAGCTCTGTGTCTGAAGTATGTTGTATAACATTGTCTGTGATATACAGCTCTGTGTCTGAAGTATGGTTTATAACAATGCCTGTGATATAAAGGTTTGTGTCTAAAGTATGATGAATAACAATTCACATGAAAAATATGATTTGGAGTTAATTTCTTATGTGAACAGCTGTACAAGAGAGGTATGGGCATGATGTAGTGTTTCTGAAAGTGTAGAGCCACACACATGAAGTAGTATATCATGTGAAGCTATTGCTATTATGATGTACCACATGTGAAGTTATGACAAAATGGACATGCTCATTACTTTAGTGTTTAGTAAGACAGTATCTTAGCTGGCTGGTGTCACTCCTTATAGTTAGGTACCAACTCTCACATGTTGAGCATGCAATTTGTGTGTCTGGGCCTATTATCATGTTCATACATATTAATAAAAAAATACATCATGTTTTGGTTAAATTGGGAGATTTCTGTGATGCATTATGGTTCTTTGACCAGTTGGATCTAGGTCAAATTCAGTAAATTCACCAAATAGCATGACTTGGTTTTATTGAATAAAGTATTTTGTGGGGGTATGTCATCAGATCCTTCCCCCAGAAGACACTCACAGCACTTTACCACATACTAAAACTTTACTTTTTCAAAAACACCTCTTTCAAACAAATTTCTAAGAGTGATAGCATTGACACTGATGATAGCATTTACTCTGCAGTATACAGTGTTTATAGGTTCTCTTAAATTTGAGACTGCTGTAAACCTTGAAAGAGTTTTGTCTTTTTTAGTGGAAATCTTGATATGAGATGTAAGTTACAATAATACGTGTGTTAAATTTAAACTCTTACTTAATAATGTTTGTTTGTATTAAGTTAATATGTTGTTATATAGAGAAAGTATTTCTGGTTTAGGAAAATGTTTAATTTATGAACATTATCATGTTAAGTTAGGCCTACAGATTAGTCCTGTCGTAGAATCGTATGAGTGTTTGATTAATTATTGTGTAAAGTTGGGCTTACACATTATTCCTGTTGTAGAACGCTGTGATAGTTTGATTAATTATTATGTTAAGTTAGGCCTACAAATTATTCCTGTTGTAGGATACTATGATTGTTTGATTAATTATCATGTTAAGTTAGGCCTACAGATTATTCCTGTTGTAGAATCCTATGATTGTTTGATTAATTATCATGTTAAGTTAGGCCTACAGATTAGTCCTGTTGTAGAATCCTATGATCGTTTGATTAATTATTGTGTTAAGTTGGGCCTACAGATTATTCCTGTTGTAGAACCCTGTGATAGTTTAATTAATTATTATGTTAGGTTAGGCCTACAGATTAGTCCTGTTGTAGAATCCTGTGATTGTTTGATTAATTATCATGTTAAGTTGGGCCTACAGATTATTCCTGTTGTAGAACCCTGTGATAGTTTAATTAATTATTATGTTAGGTTAGGCCTAAAGATTAGTCCTGTTGTAGAATCCTGTGATTGTTTGATTAATTATCATGTTAAGTTAGGCCTACAGATTATTCCTGTTTTAGGATACTGTAATTGTTTGATTAATTATCATGTTAAGTTAGGCCTGCAGATTAGTCCTGTTGTATAATTCTGTGATTCTTTGATTAATTATGAAAATAAAGTGGGACCTACACATTATTCCTGTTGTAGAATCCTGTGATTCATGAATTTTAAGTTATACCCAAGAATTATTTCTACTTTAGGAACATAAGTTTAACTGATGAATATTTAAATTTTGACTTGTAGATCTTCTGATTATTGACTGCTATCTTAAGGTAAAAAAACATGTAACGTTTGACATTTAGATTGAACTTAGACAAAAAATATACTGGTGAATGAACCTAGACAGGTGATGTGGAACAACAGTGAATAGTTATATATTGTGCTTCAATCATGTGTGAATGCAAAATGCTGATAAACAAACTCGTTTCCTTATTTTGTGTATTATGATAAGGTAATATTTCATACTTACAACAAGTGACTTAATTGAGTAAGGCTGTTTTTACAGCTAAAAATGAATTTTATAATGCAAGTTAGCATTGCTTTAGAACTGACAACTGCAAAACATAAAAAGATGGTTCAAATATATAGATATGTTAATGCTACCTGGTGTGTTTTTTTAACTCCTAAACATCTAGAACCTTTACTTTGTCCTAGTTTGGATTAATAAAGGTATGTACTTTTTATACTAAATCAAAATTGATCATTTGATATTTAATATCATTTTGAACTGCTGAGAGTCTAGAACATAGCTTTATAAGGACTTTGAAGTGCTGAATTATTGACTTGTCTGAAGCAAACCTAATCACTTAAACATTTTAATATTCTTCATCGTTTTGATAATGTTACTTTTATCCTTTTGAACTTTTTGATGGCTAGAGCATTGCTTGCTGACAAATGTGAAGGGAATTAGCTTAAAGCAAAGCTAAACACATGGGTCTGTTCACATACTGCTGAATGTCAATAATTATGTATACTTTACAAAAGGGATATTTTTCTAAAAGTGGCTGCTTTTTAATAGGGAACTGTTTATCATAAGATATTTGTTTAATAAAAAAAAGCAAGTTATGAACATTTAACATGAATAGCTTAAATTTAAATGTTATATACAGTGAAGAAGTGTAAAAAATAATTATTTGAAATAGCATTGCTTCATCATCCCTTGGAACTGAAGAAGACTCAATGTGGTTGTATATTTGAGTTATCTTGAACATTTGATAACTGTTCATATGAGATTTAAATTACGTTCTTATAACACAACAGTATATTTTATTTGTTTAATTCTAAGTGTAAATATTCAAATGATTTCACATAGGTAGATATTTGTTTTCACCTGCAGTAAAGGTATTGAATTATTTTGTTACATTTGAAGTTATGCTAATTGTTATTAAATACTCACTAATAGCTGAAATTATTTATCACCTTTTGGGTCATCTGGAAGCTAATGAACTGGTTTAGTGATGAGAAAGTAAGCTGTTGAGTTTCAAGTAAATCAGCAAGTATTTGAGAGGTAAATATGGTGATTACCATGTGTGCCATGTTATATACAAGGTTGTAATTTTACAGTTGGAAGATACTGTAGGTTAGCAGATTTTCTCTGCCTTTGTCTTTCTTTTTTACAAGATGTGTTTTAATTAGTTTGTTTTTACCAGATGTAATTTTAGTTGTTTTTGTTTTATACAAGATGTGTTTGATTCGTTTTTTTTACAAGATGTGTTTTAATTAGTTTGTTTTTACCAGATGTAATTTTAGTTGTTTTTGTTTTATACAAGATGTGTTTGATTCGTTTTTTTTACAAGATGTGTTTTAATTAGTTTGTTTTTACCAGA